TGTCCCCCAGCGAAACCAAGGCAATGAAGAAGGGCACGCTGGCTACGTTCCTGGTCTCGTCCATAGCCAATAGTAAGTCGGAGGTCTGCTCAAGACCCTCACAGTTGCATGGTTCATTTGGATCCCATCCAGCACCCCAACACCCTTGAGAGTTACCTCTGCAAACTCTAAAGAGGCAGACAAACTCTATTCCCTCTGGAACCGTTACTCCTCTCAGCAGAGGTCAGCTTTTGTTGGGAAGCCAAGACTTTGCAGGCAAACATGGTAAGAACTTCCAAAGTTACAAGGTGCATATGAGAGCATCGAGTTGAGAATACCTGAGGTGGGTGTAAAGAGAAAGGGAGGGGGGTACCAATGAACTGGGGCTAAGTATTCTCTTTCATTAGAGACTCTACAGGTACCATGTTTCCCCCGAAAGTAAGACATCTCCCGAAAATAAGACCTACTTACAGTTTTGCCTCTTGCTGAAATATAAGGCCTCCTGATAATAAGGCCCTCCTAATCTACCATAACTCTGGACTCTGGATCATAGTGGCAGGTGCTCTGTTGGCCCCAACGCAGCTGGAGCAGACAGGAAGTGTGAGTAAATGTACCATAGATTGTTGTACATGGAAATAATGGTAGTAACAAGAAATTCTTAATACTGTAGGATTCAGTTTGTCTGGTTATGCTGGTTTGTAATGACAACTACTACCGTACCATATACAGGTAATAAATTTCCTTCTTTTTTTTGTTCAATAATAAATGTGTACCGTATTCTTCTTCATGGAAAAGTAAGATATCCCTTGAAAATAAGACCTGGTGCATCTTTGGGAGCAAAAATTAATATAAGATTCTGTCTTATATTTGGGGAAACAGGGTAGTGACTTCCCTACTTACCCAAGGAAAAGCGAGGAAAGCAGATTCCCCCTAACCTATTGAAAGGAGAAGATGGCTATCTTTAGTTGAAAGCAAGGCATCGCAAAATTCTTTAATTAGAGACTCAAAGGGGTTTTAACTCATCGTGTATCTCCTTGGCTTTCAGCAGGGCAGTGTTAAGCTTTCCTTAAAGATAAGGTACACCCACCCCTATTTTTAAGCACATCCTACAGGACAGTCCACTATTTTTTTCCGTGTTAGACGGGGATTTTTCCCCTCATTTCTAACCTCACGGCAGGTGAACTTTTCCTGTTACTTCCTGGAAGCCCTCACATTAGAGGTTGCTGGGTTGCTCAGTGGAGGTAGTGAACAGATAGCCAGTCACCTTCGTCTGTTCTAAGTTATACTTCCATCTGTCCATCTGTGTGAACATACACTGATTAGGCTCTTTGGATTTACACCAATTCTGAGCAAGATGCCAACTGCAAAACTTGTCAACATTCTAGAAGACTTCCTCTCCTTTCCCCCTCCCCTAGCTTTTCTGTCTCTACTATCAGCTCAGTTGCTAACTCATCTCCCTCCCTTCCCGTTTTCTTTCACAACTCTCCAACACACACACGCTGCATTACAATAAATGCACACATTTATCCTGGTAAATAGAAAAACAGCCCGGAGACAGCTAACTGACACTTGTGCGTTGGCCAACTGGGGTAAGGATTAAGGAGAGAGATTCTAGAGTTCACCGTTGGGGCTTATCAGCAGGTCACCACAAAGCCATTTTCGCATCTGTCAGGTGGGGACAACAATAATCCGTGCCTTAGAGTTAAAATCTACAACCACCACCACCAAGTCGATGTCGGTTCCAACTCACAATGGCTGCATGTGTGTCAGACACCTGTGCTCGTAGGGTTTCCAGGGGAAGAGTTTTCCAGAAACTTATCTCCAGGCCTTTCTTCTGAAGCACCTCTAGGTCTACTCAAACCACCAACTTCCAAGTAAGCAGCCTCGGGCATCTCCCGTTTGCACCACTAGGAGACTTCAGCTATCATGCTGGGCTGTGGAAAGGATTCATGAATGACACACGAACAGTCCTTAGAATGGTTGGCTAGTAGTCCCATAGCAGATGCTATATAGTTGTTCGGCACGTTACTATAATCTTATACTCCTCTTGTAGCAAAAGGGCATTCATAGACACCAAATATCCTTGATATTCCATAAAGAGAGAGTTTAAGAAAGAACAAGGGTAGGGCTCCAGTGTAAAGGATGCATACAAAGCAAGAAACACTGGGGTTAAAGGTGAAAAGAAAAGGAGAAATGCAGATAGTTGGTGGGTGGGGAGAAACACAAGAGAGGATGGGTGAAAAAGAAGAAAAGAGCAAGGGACGTAAGTAAACAAGTGGTCATGGGAAAAGAGGAAAGGGAGGCCAGAGATTAAGAGAGAGAGAGAAGGGAAAAAAGGTCACTGCCATCACTTCTGACTCAGCGACCTTACAGGACAGAGTATTCCTGCTCTTGTAGGTGTTGGAGATTTCAAATCTTTCCTGGAGCCCAAAGCCTTGTTTCTCCCCTAGAGCTGCTGCTGGTTTCGAACTACTGACCTTGTGGTTACCAGCCTACCATGGAACTCACTCCACCACCAGGACTCCCTCAGTATTAGGAAAAGCTAAACTCACTGCCATCAGTCTGTATCCACAGAGTGACCCTACAGCCTACAGCTCTTTACTGGAATAGAAGACCTCAACTCTCTCTGGCCTTGCAGTTTGCAGCTCAACACCTAACTTCTAGGACTCCTCTTATATTAGTAGGAAAGGAAAGGGTTAAAAAAGGATCCATTTATTTGATCTGGGTATCATAAAAGGAAGTAAATGGGCGAGAAACTTTTAAATATGACATCTAAAACGAGGGAAGCATGTGGCAGAAGAGAAGAAAAGATACAACGTTTTCATTCACCAGCTTGGGCCTCAATCTTTAAATGGTGGGAAGTTTATGGGCATTCCTAGTTCTGCCTAAGAGTACTTTAACTTGCGGCTCTGGACTTGGGCCCTGTTCCCCTGGGTTGGAGCACCAGCCTTGTGTCTTCTGGCCTCTCCTAACAAAGCCAAGCTGCGGTGGCCTTTCTTACTGCACTCTGACTAGCCATCAGTTAAAGTGAAATTTAGCCATGAAGTAAATATGTATACCTTCTTCCTGCACCAAACGTTCAGTGGAGCTAGTTGCCTGTTTTCTGTTTGTTTTTAAAATTGTCCACCTCAAAAACATTTCTTCCCCTTTGGGTGAATTAAGAACAAGAGGAAAACATGATGCAGATCAGCGAAGAATCGTGGCTTTTTAGGGTTTGGTAACTTGGAAATAGGAGAGACGTTTAGCGTAGCATCAACATTTTTAAGTTTGCCCTTTTTTAGTATTAAGATTATTAAATTGCCTGTTTCATGCTCAGGAAATCAAGAAATCTAAAATGGCCCTTCAGGGGACCAAGGACAAGGGTCTCCTCCCGCCCGAGTGAGTCTGTGCCGCCGCCGCCCCCGCAGCAGCCCAAGCCACCGAGCCAGACGCGGTGTGCGCCCCAGGACTGGGACATTGCCGCAGCTCGGGCGGCCGCAGTCCCGGCGGCTGCTGGAGGCGGGGGGAAGACGCGACGCCCGCGGACACGTGACCTCCGCCTGCCGCGGCTGCCCGCGACCCAGATCTGTCCCCGGAACCCGTGCCTGGTGGGGCGGGCGGACGGGCGGACACGTAGCGGCGGCTCCAGTGCCTGCTGTGCCCGTCGCCCGTGCATTCTGCGCTCGTTAGTGCACGTGCCACTAGCAATAATTCCTGCTTGGGGACGAAAGAGGATGTAAATAATACTCTCGGGTACAGGAAGGAAAAACCTTTGCGCGCGCGTTTTTCCTCGGTGGTATTTCTCCCTCTATATCTACCTATATGTGTATATACGTGTCTATACACATCAGCACTCCGCCTCCCCCCACGCACAGCGGGTTGGAGACCGAGGAGTCCCCGGGGCCCTGCGGGCACCTCTGGCTAGCAGTGAGTCACGCGCCGGGGTGGCTGGGGCAGGGACCCGGCTCCCGCTGGGCTGCGCTTCGCGGTGCCGAGCGGCGCGGCTGCCGGGCGAGCGAGCGCGCGCGCGCCCGCCTTCCCCGCGCAGTGATGTGGCAGCAGCCGCGGCAGGTCGGCTCACGTTGCTCGCCCTGTGCTGGTACCCGTTCCAGACGAGATGGAGGAGGGAGGCACTGGAGGTGCCAGCGGTAGTAAATGTGGGGAGCGCACCCTCCCGGCGTCGCCTATCCCCCGGGGGCGGGGGGCCGCGGGAGGGGGCCGTGCCGGAGAGCGCGGGGACCCGCACAGCGCCACCCGCGGCGCCGAGAGGCGGCGGGGTTCGGCCGGCGGGCGGTAAATGCGGCATTGCTTTTCCGAGGCAGCCCCTCTCGAGCCAGCCCGCACCCCAGCCCGTCGCCGCCCGGAGCACCAGAGGCCCCACACGTCGTCCTGGGCTGTAGTTAGTGACACTGCAATTCCGGCCGCGGCGGGAAGTTTAGGTGGCCCGGGACACCGTGTCGCCGAAAGACACTTGGATTGCGACACTGTGACCCAGTGACTACATTTTAAGATTTATTTTACGCCTTCGGGAGGTGGGTTGCAAGTTGCCCCTTTTCAAGGCAGCCCCCCAGCCAGAGCCAAGGAGTCCCCTAGACCACTGAAGGGTGAACAAGTCTCCAAACGTTCCCCTCGGGGCTGAAGTTGACCCACCGCGACTGCTTTCTCTTTCCTTCCCCTGGTCCAAGCCAACCGCACGGGCGGTGGGAAAAGCAAAAAGCCACGGTCACGTCCCTGCGCCGTCATGACGGACGGAGCCACGGAGCCGCATCTCGGAGCCGAGAAAGCCCGGGCGGCCCCGCTCCCACGTGCCCCCGTCCCCTCCCCCAGCCGACTGCAGCGGCTTTGGGAAGATGAAGAGCTTGGCCGGAGTTGTTTTTCTTTTCCGGTGGCCGCGATCAGGTGTCCCCGCCCCCTCCTAGCGCTCGCCCCGCCGGCCCGCCTCTCCCGACGCCCCTCCTTCCCCGCCCCCCTCCGGGCTGGACCGCGGATGGTACGTTCCGCACGTGAGCTGGATGCTGGTCTGGCCGGCGACGCGCGTGCCCTGTGGCCAAACACTGCCCGGAGTGAGAGAGCAAACTAGCAGCGCAGAGGGGCCGGCGCGAATGTGCGAGTGTGTGCGCGTGTGTGTGAGCGAGCGAGCGAGCGAGCGAGCGCAGGGTGGGGGGGACCAACTGCTTCACACTTTCAACACTGCACTGAAGAGGGAGAGGGCGAGCGAGACTGGAGCCGTTCCGATCCCCCAAGATCTCCCAAGGCTACCGTCCCACCGATTACAGGACAGAGCCCCAAATATCGAAACAGAGGAAACGGACAGCGGGGGAACATGGACGAAGGAATTCCTCATTTGCAAGAGAGACAGTTACTGGAACATAGAGATTTTATAGGGTAAGGTGCACGCACCCTGGGCGATTATCTGCCTAGCCTTCTGTTTAGGTTTGGTTTTTTTTTCCTCCTCCAGAAAGTGATTATGAGAGATCGAGAACAGAGCCCCTCCCCGAATGGTGTCTGATGCCGATTTCTGTTTTGCAGACTGGACTATTCCTCGTTGTATATGTGTAAACCCAAACGGAGCATGAAGCGAGACGACAGCAAGGTACGTGTAAGTTTCCGATGTTCCCTATAACCTGACTGGATAGTTAATTAGGGCTATTGATTTCACAACCTGCAAACATGTCCCAGCCCCTGAGCTTCTTCAACTGTGAATTTTAAGTGGCTTGCTGGATATTCTCTGGGGGGAGATTAAACATCATACCTGAATTTAAATTGAATCCAGGGCAGTCCAGAGGAAAGAAGATTCTTGGGCATAGTTTATCCTCTAATATGTTGGGGGAGGGGTAGTGTTATGTGCAGTAAATGAATGTTGTTTAGCTTATTGTTTTCTCTCATCCACGACTTTCATATATTAAAGGACACCTACAAATTGCCGCACAGATTAATAGAAAAGAAAAGACGAGACCGGATTAATGAATGCATTGCTCAACTGAAAGATTTACTGCCTGAACATCTGAAATTGACAGTAAGATGCACATTTTCATTCTTTGGGCTCTCCCAGGGCGTGTTAGTAGCCTCGTACGACCTCCCAGAGATATCAAAATCGTTGTACATTTTAAGATACCTGACTTACAACTTGTGCTATAACAGGAGTTTCCCACAAAGTCAGAGTAGGTGCTTACAGGCGAAGGCAAGGCATCATTTATAGCCTGACTTACAGAAAGCTAGAACTAGTATAGGAAGAGTACTTTCAAAGTGTTTGCTTAAGTTGCTGCGCTGAATGGAGCGTCAACCAAGCCAGATGTGTGTGGTTAAGTAAACAAACGTCCTCTCCTCTTGTGCATCATTGCAGACTCTGGGGCATCTGGAGAAAGCGGTCGTCTTGGAATTAACTTTGAAACACTTAAAAGCTTTAACAGCCTTAACGGAGCAGCAGCACCAGAAGATAATTGCTTTACAGAATGGTAAGTCAGTTCCGGGAGGCCGCCCACCCCATGACACAGGGCAGCCCACAGAGGAGCAGGGTGACAGTGTGAGGACACCCACCCCACCCCACCCCCTTCCTGAAGCTCAGGCTCTGTCGCTCATTTTCAAATTGCTTATACGTTCCCTTCAGTGGAAAGTGCCCATTTCCTGAAGCATCCTAAAGGCTTTCAGCAGAACTCGGAGGAATCAGGTTTTTATTTCAAGTGGCGGTGGCACCCTTTCCACTTTGGTTTCTCAGCTGGCAGGAGAGCGCCCCCCACCCCCTCCCTCTGCAACCAGTGGATTATATCACTCGATTACAGAGGAAAACCGAGCTCACTTTAGGCAATGCAGGGTCCACGTGACCAGCAGATGTTTTAACGTCGCCGCTTTGCTTCATTCCTCTGCACCACCACCCCCTCCTCACCCCACCCCGCCCCCACCCCTCCCCGCTTCTCACCCTAGGGGAGAGATCTCTGAAATCGCCGATTCAGGCCGACTTGGACGCGTTCCACTCGGGATTTCAAACGTGCGCCAAAGAAGTCTTGCAATACCTCTCCCGGTTTGAGAGCTGGACGCCCAGGGAGCCGCGGTGTGTCCAGCTGATCAACCACTTGCACGCCGTGGCCACCCAGTTCTTGCCCACCCCGCCGCTATTGACGCCACAGGTCCCCTTGGGCAAAGGCCCCGGCACGCCCCCGGGCGCCGGCGCCGCGGCCGCCCCGTGCCTGGAGCGCGTCGGGCAGAAGCTGGAGCCGGGCGCCCACTGCGTGCCGGTCATCCAGCGGACCCAGCCGAGCGCCGAGCTCGCCGCCGAGCATGACACGGACACCGACAGC